CAGTAGCCTAATCCGTTTACACTGATAAACTTTACAAGTTAATCGAAAGTTATGCAGAGCGCGAGCAACTTAATATCACAAAAACCACATGTATCAATTTATTCATGCTGTTTGTTTCCTTAATAAAGAAAAAATAAAATAAAAATACAATTTAACGACAACCAATTAGCGAACTTAATAGAGCCATTAATAATAAAAATCTTCCTAAGCCATTGACCCGAAGCAATTTAAACTATCATTTAATGACATTTACAATTTGTGGTTTAACAATACCGATTTCTTTCTATTGCACAACAAGTAAAAGATGTTACTTGCCTATTTAATTTATATGTCAACTTCACGATTTTAACAAAACAATTAATGTTTTCGTACCGCTTTGATGCCCTAATGAACTGTTCAAGATAAGTGTTTAGGCTTAATTAAAAATAAATAAATAGTTGTTATTATCATTATTGAAATTGTTTAACACATAACTAAGTATCTATTTACGTAGGTAATTTTTCATCGGTTAACTTTTTTTTATGGAAAACCTAAGTTACGTCAACATGTTGGCTTATTTGCACCAAGTGTTACGGCCAATACGCCAATATGATAAACATGATTTAGGTATAATCTATCCATCCTTACAAACTTTTACTTTAATAGGAAGAGTTATTTTATTACATTATCATCTCTAAAGCGTGGGCAGTTCTCCTACTAGGTGGACCGACGATCTGGTGAAGGTCGCGGGAAGAGCCTGGATGCGGGCAGCGCAGGACCGTTCATTGTGGAAAACCTTGGAGGAGGTCTTTGTCCATCAGTGGACGTCATTCGGCTGAAACGAACGAATGAACGAACATCTCTAAACAATTAACATGTTTCATCAAATATCTTCGTATCAAAAAGGCCTTTACAATCATAATTTACTATTAAATGTGCACATTTATCAAATAACTATAACGTAAACAATACAGTTGCCTTGTCAATCGCAGTGCCGGTCGTAATCTCATTATGCTAGTTACTGCTTCCTTCCGCACATACATAACAATATTATACATATACAACTAAGATACCATAGAAACTTAGAATCGTGCTACACTACACTGTCTTACGTAACCTCTAGTACTTACTGCTCTATTATACCCTACTTGTATTATATTAAACAGCCTTTGCTATAAATAGGATAGTTCTTAGAGCTAATCTACTTTGCCGCTCAATTGTTGTAACTAATTTATTAATAATAGTTGGGCTAGAACTTTCAGGCTAAATTCAACCTGAAAATCTGAGAATAACTGAACTGCGACAGACGCTCATAATAAGTATCTGAAACCAGTATTTTTTTACTACCAATATTATTATAATATTTTTTTCTATTTATTTGGGATTAGTTTGTATAATCTCAGAGAGCTAGAGAGCAGGGATCAACTGATACAAAAAAGTTATAGATTAATTTATAACAATTTTAGACTGCTGAATGAAACGAAAAGTTGTATCAAAAATGTCTTATCTATTCCAAATCAATATTAGTTTACGGCTTTCAAGATATCAAATTACATCTTGATAAAGTCCTTTACGAGATTTGCAATTAGCAATAATTAATCAAGGTGTAATTTGATCTGCTGACAAAATATTAATTAAAACTTTTATTGGAAGGAAATTCTTCGTAAGAAACATTTCTTCATTAATCAAATTGTAATCTGTATTGTTTGTACATCTCTTTTGTACATGCTTAATGATAACCCATAGATTAAAGAACGGCTGGAGTTTTAAAAATAAAACGCGGACGTGATCATATTACAAAGTTGTGATTCTGTGTTCTTTGCGAATAATTTACTTCTGATTAATTAAAAACTTAAATAGCCAACATGTTTCCCCTGAAATCAAATATTACGTAGGTACCCTACTTTATTAATACTAGCACTTATTTGATAGTGATAAAAAACACGTTGTTAATCAAGAATCGGGTGATCAATTTTGAAACTTAGTTTAGGACATCCCCTACTTAAAACAAAATAATATAAAAATATGTTCATGCACACAAATGTTTGTACTGTCCGGGAATCGAACCCGTGACCTCTCGGCACAGTAGTTTCGAACCACTACACCAAAAGGCCGATTATGTCTTAGGGTAGACTTATTTGCAGCAGTACCTAGACTGCCAATGAATAAAAACGATGATCTCAGTGGTATCGTTGATCGAAGATAGCCTAGGTATTTATTTTCTAGTGTACAACTGCATCAAAACCGTTTATTTTTAATCAGTTTATCTTTTAAATCTTAATTTGAAATGGGTTTGTAATCCAAAGATATAAATTAGTGTGGTGTTCCCTTAACGATAACTCGGATTGCCATTCAAACTGACTAATGAAGCCAAATGGAGCAGCAATTAGTCCCATTGTGCCGATTAAACTGAGGCCGGGAGTTGGAGTTGGAACAAATGCGATGTAGAATTAGCAAATTCTAAATAATATATGTCTCTAGAGTGATATCTAATTGTTTTAATACAAAATTAAAAGCGCACATAGCAATAAAATTAGAAATAAAAGTGTACTCTACAACTTAATAGCTCAGAAGAGGTTAGGTACTTACTTGCCTTGTTCATGTATAAATAGTGTGTAAACTTCATGTTTAGCATCGTCAATAAATGAGTAGGTATATACCATGAGTTACATAACATAACTAAGCATTCGTATCATATAAACTGAAACATAACCGCAATCGAAGTATGAAAGTTATTGTCTGTAACAACCATTCACGTACATTCCCACAAATAGGCTCATTCAAATGTGTTGCTTACAAAAAATGATCTGAGGTGCTTAATTTAAATTAATTGAAAAGGCTTTTAATAAAAATTCCCCTCAAAAAATTATACGACTTAACAAATTTTTGTCTACAATAAATAAGCTTTGTCAGCCCCAAACCACAACCTACAAAATAAATCCAGTCGCCAGCACATTTTGTTGCAAAATTGAACCTATCATAACTAAATAAGTACTCGTATTTAACTTGATATGTTGTCGTCAGTACATTGACCTGTCCAGATTATTTTAAAGAGCAGGCATTTCACAACATTACGCATGATAAACCTTTGTAAACGTTTTGATATTAATCGTGCAAACAATTATTTGCAAGACATCAAAACTGAAGTAGATCATCAACTTGCTCTATTTTTCAGTAGTAAAAGAGAAAGTATTGGACAAAAAACTCTGTTTTCTTAGTTTTTAATAATAGTGAGTTCAAAGGCTTAAGTGTGAATTTAAAGACGGTATGGGTCCCATGGTATTGAGGGGATAGATAATGTAACATTTGTGACATTCACCTAGCGAAGAAACCAAACCAAATACAGATAACGGCGTAGCGACTTCGGAAACGACTGTCACATTTGTAACACTTTTTATACGAGCGAAACTTTTGTACGATCTAGGGAACAAGAAAATCGAATATAACAATGACGAAAATCACAGATAAGTTCAAAAACATGTCTTCCTCGGCTACCTATTTAACTTTAGAAAATGTGACCAACTACCCTAGTGTTATTAAAATCATTGTCAAGAAAAGGGATATTCGCGTAGCGCATGATGCAAAGGCTTGAAGGTATCAAGTTTCTCAGTTTGGCCCTAAAAGATTAACTGGAGGAGAATGTCAAACAAATGGCATTAAGTTATCCCTAAATTACTATGTTTTACGTAAAGAAATAAATAAAAGTGTGACAAGTCTTATTCGTTGTCAACACAAAATTAAAATTAGTTATACGATCCGCCTCTAAAACAATATTAGCACCATAATGAAATGCCTGCTCGCAAACTCCGAAGATGGATTTAGCATTTTCAACTTTGCCAATTCCAAGTTTATATCGTGACAGCTTTTGTTTGTCCGTCAGTTGGTTCTTAGCGGTGGTGTTGTAAGAAACCCGAGTCTTGGAGTCTTATTTATTAGAACTTGAGCTATTTTTTAATACTCGAGTCTTATTAATAAAACTTAGAGCTTAAATCCTTGAGTCTCTGTAAAATACTCGAGACCTGTCAAAAAGAACTCAAAGACTAAGTCCTTTTAAAAGAACACAAAGACTTATGCCCGTTTTCACCATCAATTCCTAATTTTTAAGTGACCCCTACGGCAACACATAACAGGAATTTCGTTTTCAAATGGGTCACTTAAAAATTAGGGATTGATGGTGAAAACGGGCATGAGTCCTCTAAAACCATAGCTGTAGTTTGAAATAAATAGAATAGCAAAGAACGTAAAATACTCGAAAGGACTCAGAAGACTCGAAAAGACTCGGACTCGTGTGACTAACGACTCCTAGTCTTGAAAATAGACTCAAGTCTCGAAATGAAGACTAAAATACTCGAGTTTCTTACAACTCTACCTAGCGGGGTTTAATTACTAGAATACTGCGGTTTTAATTACACTCTTGTTTATTTATAAAACAACTTACTTTGTATTCTCTATCGATATCAAAAATGAGTGCTTGGATGCTACTTATCAGTTTATTAATTAAATAAACTACATAAAGTTTATTTATTAAATAGGTTGTTTACGTGGAAAATTCTTGAAGAAAGATATCGGAGAGAAGCGGTAGTAATTATTAAAGTTGAACAGCCCACACTAAAGAGGTGCTGAGATGGTTTAAAATGATCCAAACAACTATAACTAGAAGCTATTTTTAGCAGCGTGACTCTTCTTCTTGATTCCTACCTGTATTTTAATTGCAAAACATATATCTCAAACTAATTTTAAACTTTCGAAGTTCAACGCTAGCGGTAAATGAAAGGTCGTGGGTTCAATTCCCACCGCAGGCAATAGATTTTGTCTTTGTCAAGTATTAAAATTATTCTATGACATTTTGTTGGTAGCGGCGACTGGTTGCGCCGCCATGGTGTCCCGGTGAAATATAGCCCAAAGGCGTTCAATGTTTTAAATAATTTTAATCTTTCGATTATTTTATATCTCGAGTCAGTGTCAGGTCGAAAGGATGCATTAAAGTTGTGTTCAATAAAGTTTTACTATTTTGTCCCCAGATCTGACGTCACCATGGCGATGGACTACTCGTTCGCCAACGCGTCAACCTCCAACGGGTATTCTGATGTGGTCAGCGAGCACCTTAAAGGCATAGGCAGGCTGTTCTACATCCACTACCCTCAAGAAACTTTGTACGAGAAGAAAGAAGATGTGCCCAACTTCTTCAGACAGGTAAGCTAATGAGGGCTTTCGCGATTGAAAAATCCGCGGCAATACGTAGACGCGAGGTCCAAATGCTGCATGATTATAGTCTTTTTCACCTAAGATGATCCGTATGACGTTTCGAGTTTGAAAGATTTAGAGATGTCACATAACTAAACCATAGCGATTTATCTATCGATTTTTTTCGAAGAGTTAGTAAAACCTACTTTTATAGAAATATTTTGTACAGGTGTTATTTAACAAAAAACATGTTTTTTACAATTACAAATATTATTGTAACAATTTTTTATTGATAATATTCAAATTTCATGGTTCATGTTCAAAAAAACGATTCCTAAAAAGTACTGGTTCTGTTTCTTTAAATTAAAAACCATTAATTTATTTTTAATGCGTTTATTATAGTCAATAATCGAAAAATATAGTTGATATTTGTAATGTTTTTAATAACTAAGTATTCACTGCAATCGATTAATGAACCGCGGTAATAATCGATTTTATTATACAAGAAATACCCCAGCACTAAATCTATTCCGTTTCACACATTGCGTACATGAAATAAATGATATTTTTACATCGTATTTAATTAAAATATAATCAATAGACTCAGATTTTACTATATATTTCAAGACAAGGTAGTTATTTTTTTTTATTATATTGCTAATAAAATACGAATATTTTTTCAAAAATATTCTGCATATGTAGTATGCGTAATATGGATAACCTTGAAGTGTCATACGGATCATCTTACGTGAAAAAGACTATAGTTATTTTTGACATGACATTGACAGATATGTCAAAATCCAACAATCACGCAGCATTTGGACCTCGCGTCTACGTATTGCCATCTGGCGGATTTTTCAATCGCTAAAACCCTAATTGTAATCTGCAGGTTTTGCGATATGCCAGAATTAACATAAATACAGGGATTCAAGGCAGAACAATCATGAGTACAGGTGAATCATGAATGCTTATACTAAAACGTTTGTTTTTATTTGTATAGAGAACAATAGTGTCTAGACAAACCTAAAAAGGATTTAGGACGCTATTTGGATCAAATATGTAATTGCTCAATAATGAATAATAAATAAAAAAAAAAAAAATATGATGATAGCCTATGGATAGCCATCTTCTATACAAACGATTTTTCATTTTTTTTATCCTCAATTAAGAGCCTTTATCTGACAAATGAGCTGATATTTTTCTTATTTTTCTTCTTATTCATCATGAAAAATATTTGCTCAGCACAGAACATCAAAAGATAGACTCAAAACTGGGCTTATAAAAAAATATGAACTCTTTATTCATATTTTTTTTCATTACCTCTGAAACGGTGATACTTTTACTAAAGTATTTCTATTTTATATAACATCTCCTTAATCACGCTCTTTATGAAACACCCTGTATACAGGGTGGAAACGATAAGTGATCTCATTCGATTATTTCTAAACTATACAAGATATCGAAAAACTGGTTAGTGAATATCTTGTATAGTTTTTAATATTATTTGGTTTTACTAAATGTATGGAAGCAGGAATCATTGAATTTTTGGATAGATCCAGTTTATTATGTAATTAATATTGGTACCGTTTGAAAGAGCTTGTGAAGCACTTTCAGAATCAGTAATCAGTTTTTCGATATCTTGTATAGCTTAGAAATAATCGAGTGAGATCACTTAACGTTTCCACCCTGTATATATGACATGATTATGAAATTCAGCACTAATGTTCAGAAGCCGGTATTGACTTATGACTAACGTATTACAAAACTGCAATTATGATCATGTTACATACATAAGTACCTACAGCTCTAATTTATAACCTACTTTTTTAAAGTCGGTAAAAAGTGTAAGCAATGTTTTTCTGCTTAAAAATAAACTAGAGTTTTTTTGTCAATTAGGCCTAAATAATACCTTTACGAAATACCATTTTTTAGACTTTATTACATTTATTAGACTAAAAGGAATCTCATAATTCGATTTCAACTGAAGTAGGTCCTCAGCTAGGTAGATTCAAGCTTACGATTGCTGTAAATATTTAAATAAATATTTTTTGTACTTATTTATATATTTATTTATTGGACTGCATTTCTTGGCATCTATTTTTAAAATACTTAACACTAACCTACTATAATCGTTTGCCTTTCGAACTAAAATGTATAATAAGTAACTTATTGTGCCTAAAGATTTAAAAAGGGGTCAGGGGTCAAATCATTTCAGTTTGTTGCCTAATTATTAATTACATTTTCTTTTCTTTTGACTTGAACTTGACCTCAATTTCAGTTATAAAAGTAAATACCTAAGTGTATAAAAGTCACACGTATGGTTGACAAATCAAACCTTGACTTTTAATATAATATTGTGACATCGGTTAGTTACTCGTAGATCTAAATAGACAAGATTGATAACTTTCAAGATTTTTATCACTTACTAATGGCGCAGTTACACTACACGATAAATTGACCGAGACGAAGTATGACGCACACCGATGTATGGGCGAAACGAAGTGAAGTGTGTTTTTACACTTTAAATCTAGATCAATTTCCCGCATGGTGTAACTGCGCCGTTAGAAAGTGTAGGTATTTTAAAGAAGTTAATAGTAAAACAATGCAATTTCATTTAAATATCTTCTTTGTCAACTTTCATTTATTTAAGTGCATTCGTGATTAAGTAGTTCGTGATTTAGCTACCACGACGACTGTAAGTATACTTTAGTACATACTATAAAAACTATATAGTATTTTTGCAGTTATTAAATCATTTAGTCAACAGTAGACGATTATAAAATACCTTTGTACTACCTACCGACCGTGTTTCACGTTTCTAGAGGCATAACTTCTAAAAATATTCTTCCTTCTTTTTGCCTTATTTCTAAGGGGTTTTATAGAACTTACAGCTTTTCTAAGACCAACAAAACGCTACGTGAACAATAGACATTAGCTCTGTAACAGGTCACAAAAACATTCAATGAATATTTTCTAAAAAAGTCCTTTGCTGTAATTCAAGACAAAAAAAAGGTATTAAAAAATATACGGGTATTTGAAGTACATAACATCACCAGCGATAGGTATCTTATTCACAAAGAGCTTTTTCTTATTTCCCTTTGGTGTATAATAACAAATTTAACTACCAAGTTTCTTACACGTGACTGTCAAGAAACGGCAAGTAGACTCTACCAAGAAATAGAAGCTTTTAAAACTTTGAGAATGTTCTTTAGAAAATGATACATTAGGGCTGAATGCACCATCTAACTTTAACTTTGACAAAAATCAAAAATCTATCAAACTCCATACAAAAAGCACCGGTTATTGTTAATGTTGCGGTTAAAATAAGATGGTGCAACTTAGCCTAAAATTTAAGTAAAATGGTTTTCTGTTGTGAAAAATGAATTTTATTTTTCAATTCGTAAAGTGTGCTTTTACAAAACGCCCTAGGGGTGCTTCCGAGCTTTTATATTTCAAATGGATGTTTGAAAAGTATTTTTTGTACTGGGAAATATGAATAGAATGTGTATTTGTTTATGAAAATATAATTTCATTGCCGTTTTCTAAAATGAAATGGAAATTAATTACATATATGTTTTTAATGTAAATAAAAATAAAAGCGTGGTCTTTATATCATAAGCGACGTAATATTTTATACAGGGTGTTTCTTGTAAGGTGTCAAGCCGAAGGCAGGTGATAGGTGAGGACTAGACCTATCGATTTCACCCCCATGTATGTTCTACGATTTTTCATAGTTTAGAAGTTATCGTCAATTTTGTGATTTTTTCAAATTGTATGACCCAGTAGGCTTTAAATTTTTTTATCTTTTTTTTGGGTCGACTTTTCTCAGATTTCTTTTTTTTGACAGATTCCCTATTAATTGCAGATTTTTGAAAAAAATAATCAACTTCCTATCTTTGATGCAAGATACAAAATTTTTGCTAGAAACATAAAAAATATGCTATTAGCGGAACATTCTAAAATTTTCAACTTAAAAGTTAAAAAAAAAAGAAGAAATTCCATAGGTCCAAAATAATTTTAAAAACTGCGCAGTTTTCTGAACTTTCATAATAACACAAAAAAACATGTACTTAATAGGCCATTATTTTCTGTAATCGCTCCACTAATGTGGTAAGTCGGAGATTCCGTTACATGTTTTTGACTTTCTTAGGACTAACTAATGATTGCAATTCTCTAAGTTTACGTTACTTAGAACACATTTAAAGACAATAACTGAACAGAACATTTTTTTATCCACAACGAGGAATCTCTTGCCCTTCATCTGACCTGATGAAAACTGATGGATGATCAGCGAGCTTCACTCGGAATCCTAAACCACAGAGGAATTGGCTGTCCTAAATAGGTGGCCTTACCACTAGACCACAGTGGTGGTTGTTACTTTACGATTAAATTCGATATAACTACCTACATATTAGAGTGTGAGAGAAAGGGAAAGAGTTTGTGTGTGTGTGTGTGTGTGTGTGTGTGTGTGTGTGTGGAGAGAGAGAGAGAGAGAGCAAAAATGGGTGTAATGATTTATTTTAAAGTAAATGTTCATAATGTCCGCCGTTGACCTGAATGCACATTCGACAACGACGCAAAAAAAATCTTCGTAAAACCTTCTTCTTCATTTTAATTTGGTTTTGTGCTTCAGTCAGCTTTGTCCGCAGTTCATCAATATTTTCATATTCCCTATTGTATACCAGATGAAGGGCAAGAGCTTCCTCGTTGTGGATAAAACAATGTTCTGTTCAGTTATTGGGGGTCATCCATAAAGTACGTCACACGTAAAGAGGGGGGGAGGGGGTCGACAAAGTGTGACATGGTGTGACAAGAGGTGGGGGGGGTCCTAAGTTGTGTCATCACATTTCAAAATCTAATATATCTAGAGGTACTAATCGCGTAATTTGAAATATAAATTAAACTAAAAAATACCCCCACCACTTAAGCACAACTCCGTCGAAGTCGAAAACCTAGGAGAGTCTTAATGGGCAACCAATGAAGCCATTAAATCAATAAAATCTTTTGTAGGAATTATTTCAGATCTAATTCTACTGGCCTATATCTAATGCCGCCAAACGCACCGTACCTCGCGCGTGATTTTATTGTTTCTATTTGTTGCAATTTTTTTGTTAATTTAATATTTTTTCGATGTGAAATTGAAAAACATGTGACGTCACACTAGGGAGGGGGGGTCTCAGAAATGTGACAAGCACGGGGTAAAAAAATCATGAAATTCGTGTGACGTACTTTATGGATGGCCCCTTGTCTCTAAATGTGTTCTACATAACGTAAACTTAAGGGATTGCAAACATTACTTAGTCCTAAGAAAGTCAAAAACATGTAACGGAATCTCCGACTTACCACTTTAGTGGAGCGATTACAGAAAATAATGGCCTATTAAGTACATGTTTTTTTGTGTTATTATGAAAGTTCAGAAAACTGCGCAGTTTTTAAAATTATTTTGGACCTATGGAATTTTGTTTTTTTTTTTAAACTTTTAAGTTGAAAATTTTAGAATGTTCCGCTAAAAGCATATTTTTTATGTTTCTAGCAAAAATTTTGTATCTTGCATCAAAGATAGGAAGTTGATTATTTTTTTCAAAAATCTGCAATTAATAGGGAATCTGTCAAAAAAAAGAAATCTGAGAAAAGTCGACCCAAAAAAAAGATAAAAAAATTTAAAGCCTACTAGGTCATACAATTTGAAAAAATCACAAAATTAACGATTACCTCTAAACTATGAAAAATCGTAAAACATACATGGGGGTGAAATCGATAGGTCTAGTCCTCACCTATCACCTGCCTTCGGCTTGACACCTTACAAGAAACACCCTGTATTGTGTGAAAAGAGGGATTAATTAATTGTCGGTGTAAATTCACTTGCGTAAACTACCCTAATAAATCATGTAATCGATACCCTTTCAGTTAAACTATACCCAATTTGCTTCTCTGAGAAACCCAAACTGATTTGTCAAGAGTACCGGTTGGTTAAACCTCAGGCTAGCTTAACCTCATCGTGTTACGCGGTGAACGTCTAATAGTCAAGTTACCGTGGTTACGATATTTCGTAATTACTGCAACATATGAGTAACTTGGGACGTTTTCAGGTTGGTGTTAAATAGGGCATTGCGTTTCGTGGTAACCGGTAACTTGAGTTAAACTTGTAGTTAGCGGGCGTGAAGTAACTACTCTTAATTTCACGCCTGCTCATAAGTTTATTAGAGTAAAATATCATCTCACTATTAGCTATATTATGACACACCATATTGTCGGCCATTTGGTGTAGTGGTTCGCGTACCGGATTACTATTTCACGGGTCGTGGGTTCGATTCCCGCACAGTACAAACATTGGTGTTCATGAACATATTTGTTTGTATTGGTCTGGGTGTTTTCTATCTATATTATTTATGTATTTACAAAAAAAGTGTTTTAGTTTGTTTATATTTCTTGTCTAGTACCTATAGTACAAGATTTGCTTAGTTTGGGACTAGATGCGCAGTGTAAAATACCCAAGGATATTTATTATTTAATTTATTGTATATTAGGACGTGTGTATGTGTAAGGACCCTGAAAAGAATCCATAAACCAATTGCAATATTAAAAAATACATCCCTTCGACTACGCTTTTTCAACCAACTTCCACCAAATCTAATGTATTGAACCGGTCTTTATGTAAATACAATTCTATTCCTTGAAAACTCTAAAGGATACAAAGTTTGTTCCAAAAAACGTAGTAAAATAGATAAAGAAATGACCCAATTACGTAAAAGCCTTATTTTGGGGCGAAGGGTCGGGTTCGATTCTCTGAAATACGACGGGCGAAAATATTATTTGTGTTTACATTTATTTTCGAAAAGTTTATCGTTTCTTAATTTGTACAAAAAAAAAAAAGTTTTTGTCCCGTCAGATTAGTGTCACGAATTTTTCATAAAATTATTTTAAAGGTGAAAGAAAATTTAAAATTGAAACTTTTTTGTGCTTATTAAACCTTATAAAGCATTTTAAAATTAATTTGAGAATATTAACTTGTTTCAATGTTCTAAAAATAGACAAAAAGTAATTTCAGTTCATTATTTTATTTTCAAATGCAATTTTAAGCGTACCATTTAATTTCGAACTAGCCAATTAAATTAGTGTGATTAGTGAAAAAAATACTTATTTAATGATTTATTTACAATCTTACACTGTGTCAATTACATAAATTATCCTTATCAATAAAGATATTGTAACTATGTAGTTATCTCAAGCATAATTTATAAACGATCGTGTAGGTCAAGGCATGTTTCATTCCCATTTGTATTGAGTATTTAATTGTGTTACTAAGTATTTTATATTACTAATACAAATCACTATTTGCAATTTATTCACGGCATTGTTATTGTTACGAAACAATACTTGAACACATTTTATTTTTTACATTTCATTGTAATCTTCAAGTCCGTAGGTAATTAGGTATTTGAATGACGTACATACATAAGAATCTACGAGTATAATTTAAGTAGGCATAATTTTACTTTTACATTAATAAACGTTATCTAAATAATCGCTTACTCCTCACAATGTTAACGCTAATTTTTGTTATAAATATTTTTATGGGAGGAAAATATCCTTCAGTTGGGACATTATCGTACGACCTAACTAGTCGAGTGACTGCTCTAAATTTTCAAACCTATCGAAATTTTAGTGATTTTTACATTGCAAACTATCTAACTAGCCGTTACACCTGTATTTTCTTTTATTTCCAGTCATGGCCGTACTTCTTCTTATTCATGATCCTGGAACACATCGTGCTGAGGCTAAAGGGCATGAAAGGGATCAGACTGAACGACGGCATCACTAGCATATCCCACGGGATCCTACAGGAGTGCGGAAGGTATGTAGATCTCACGGGACTATTTCCCAACTATTTTTCCCTCTGCTGAAACTCCTTTATAGCTGGGAGCTATAGCTTAATCAGACTGAAAATCAGAGTCGTGGTACTACGCACTGCGTCATTATGCTGAGTGGAAGCCTTTTTGGCATCATTTCCAAATTAATTTATACAATACTGCTAAGTTTTGTAACTTGCAGTTTTTAATGTGCCAAATTAAATGTATTTTATTTTTTTCTTATTCCCCGATAAAACCCAACCAATGACGACCGAAGTTTGTCAAAAAGTTTGTCAGGGGTAAAAAAAAACGTCAATGGATCAGCAACTTTTTGTTTCCGCTTGACAACTGCTTGTCAATTTTGCTATACGAGTACGAGTATTAAATGAAGATAATCCTCAACAGTATTGCTTAATACTAAACATACAAGTGAAATCTGAGCACCTTCATAGTGTGCACTTTTACGCAAAGTGCGTACAATGACTTTTCTGTGGTCAGCAGTTGAAAATTATAGGCCATGTTTAAGAATTTGTGCAATTTTATACACTCGACCTATTGGTAGAGTCATTTTCGCCCAGGCTTGATGAAGTTGTATAAACTGATTAAACGCATGCTACAATCAATTAGGCATGTCTGTTCAAACCAATTGAGATTATACCTCGCCCCATTGGAGGCTTGGCAGCGCCGATAAATTTACTCACTAATTGATTGAACCATTGGACCACAGTATTGTTGTGATCCAGAGGCCTCACACATTATCATCATAATATGGTATCATCATCATCATCATCATCATTTCAGCCTTAGGACGTCCACTGCTGAACATAGGTCCCCTCCGATAATTTCCAGACCAATTGGTAGCGGCTTGCAGCGCCTTCCTGATACCTTCATGAGGTCATCTGTCCATCTGTGGGTGGATGCTGGACATCCCTCAAGTGTGCGTCTTCTACAATCTAAAACCAGCAGAAGAATAATACCAGCAATCAGTAAATTAATTCCACTTTATGTTCTGTTACAGGCTAGTATGGAGAGGGGCAGAGTCGTACCTTTACACTTGGATATACGCCAACTTCAGACTGGTGGATCTGCCGTGGAACCACACTTTCACCTGGTACGCGGCGGCCCTTGGGGTTGACTTCTGCTACTACTGGATGCATAGAGCTTGTCATGGTGAGTTTCAAAACAAAGTTTATAAAGGAATAGTCCTATTAAAGATAAGACCTATTCACCTAAATACTGAGGTACCTACAGAAATATACAGTCTGATGTTCTGACGGTACTTTTGCCAAAAATTCTTAGTAAAATGCCAAAACAATGGTAAAAATAAATATTATAAGACGCCTTTCTACATAAAACCAAACGTTAAAGAGCTTTAAAGATGCTTTTGTTTCCATATTAAACAAATATTTTTACCCTAAAATACTTAAATTGTCATCATCATAACCACTGACATGGGTCGTATTTCTAAACGTTTATTCTTAAATTAACGTCAAAGGTAGACAAAGGTACGTCCCGGGTGATATTTTACATTAATATTTCAATTGCCTCGTTTAAGCCACGTAGGATTGTCAAGTTTTAAAACAGAAAGACGGATTGGTCGACCAAATTAAAAGGATGATTAGGAATTAAGTGTTTAAAAATTTAATCCAAGGTTTTGTCAATATTTACTTCAGTAAGACAAAGTCTTTGTTGAACATGGCAATTAATACTGGCTTTATCAAGACACCTGGCAAGCGTAATTGCCCCAAATCAATAGGGACTGCCGTGTTTACCTTTACGCTCAATAATTACTGGCCAATGACAGGACCTCACTCGGCATTTCGGCAGTGACACCTACTGGCAAGTGCAATTAATACAATTTAGTCTTATCGTGTTTGCTGCTCATCAGACAAAGCCACACTGAAAAAAATGTTTGGTTATTGTTTACACAACAAAACACAACATTTTGTTCCTCATAACCAAAGTGTTCGGTGGTCACTTTTGTTGTGTAAGCAGTAACCAAACATTTTTTCAGTGCATTGTCATGTCCACTAGTTGAATAAGACCTTACAAGCCAGTGGCGCCAACTGTAGCCTTATATTCACGTAACAAAACTTCAACGACAAATCGCTGAATGCGATCCTATCGAGTAATCGTTCTATCGAAATGACCCTTATGAATACGGTTTTAGAACTGTTTTTCAGTGGGATGACGTAACAAAACGTCAATTACAACAAATCGCTGAGTTGCGATACTAACGAGTAATCGTTCTATAAAAATGACTCTTGTGAATACGGATTTAAAACTGTTTTTCGATGGGACGACTTCTGAACGTCAGCGAGATCTTGACTGTCAAAATACGTGAATTAGGATGAGCGCAAATACTAGTCAAGTCAGTCGAGTAAATAGAACCAGGCCTGGTCATCTCCGCGAGCTTACATCGAAAACAAAACACGCACAATGGCCCCCTACAGGATTACTATTCGACAAGGCCTCACATACGAGCGACCATTGACTCACGCACGCGTATTCTTGTGTATCATGGAAAAAAATAAAGAAAATGGTGTACTAAATAATACTGTGCAGTATTTGACTGCCTAAATAATAATAAAAACACAGAATGTACTTTTTTAAGTTGCCTGAAGACACTGAGAGGTAAATAAGTAGTTAATATTATTCATGATAATTCATGCTAAATCATGTATTTCCTCCGCCATTTTCTGCAGTTTGGCACCTCACGTCACATCATTTTACCGAAGTCAGCCCTATAGCTTCGGCGCAGTACCGATCACTGACGTTTGTTAACAAAATGGTGCTTGACTCTTGAGACAAGCTAAATTACACCATATTGTTAATGACATTGAGCATACATTTTTTTAAATACCTTCGCGAAGTAAAACTTCTGTACGTAGTACTTATTATTATTCTGTGATAGAACGCTAAACGAGTCTTTGGTCAATATTTTTTTTATTCTTTCAGAGGTGCACATCCTATGGGCACAGCATCAAGTGCATCATACCTCAGAAGACTTCAACATGGGGGTGGGGATCAGGCAGTCGGTTCTACAGGGATGGTGTGGATTTGTGAGTATTACATTATTATTGTAGCTACTTGCCGAAGGGGATGAAATGAAATGCTATTGTACTCGTAATATTAAAAGCGTAAACCCCTTTATTACAAACGGTCATAATTACATGTTTGTGTGTTTATTCAGTGGTTTTATTCAATTTAGGGAGGCTCTACATAGAGTAAAATAATTTATGACTGCTTTTAAATAACAGATCTGCTGTTCACATAATATAGAGTAAGATCGTATTTATCGTGTCGAATAACGAAAACAGGATAAAATATCTTTTTTTGGTCTTTTAAATATTATTATAACGATGTACCCTTTGCTCTTCAACTAATTTAGCCAATATTAAATGAACAGTAACAGCTAGATAATGTAAATAAGGCCGTTTGTAAGCCAATGCTCACGCCAATAACACCGATATAATATCAGTTTGTTCTTGCTTCAGTTTTGCATGATCACCTTAAGGCCATGAACAGTAAAGTGTCAAAATATGTAGTACGTGACACACCCTAAGTGGCCAAAAAATGTATAAGACTACCTTCGTTCGTTCGTTTCAGCCGAATGACGTCCACTGCTGGACAAAAGCCTCCCCCAAGGATTTTCACAAAGACCGATCCTGCGCCGCCCGCATCCAGGCACCTCCCGCGACTTTAACCAGATCGTCGGTCCACCTAGTGGGAGGTCTGCCCACACTACCTTTTCCGGCTCGTGGTCGCCACTCGAGAACTTTTCTGCCTCTGCAGATAAGACAGATAATACTTCCGGATGATAAGATTACCTTAGAGTGCGAGCTTATTGCCTACTTTGGGTGTAACGAACTATTTGAGGCTGACTGTACTAGGTCGCTAAATTTTATCATCAACTAGCTGACCCGGCGAACTTTGTTCCGCCTTAATGGCAATAAATAACGGGATAAAAAGTATCCTATGTCCTTCTCCTGGCTCTAAACTACCTCCCTGACAATTTTCAGCTAAATCGGTTCAGCCGTTCTTGAGTTATAAGTGGAGTAACTAACACGACTTTCTTTTATATATATAGATTACTAGCTGACCCGGCAAACTTTGTTCCGCCTTAATGGCAATAAATAAGCAGACATTTTTTTTAATTTCGAACGGGATAAAAAGTATCCTATGTCCTTCTCCTGGCTCTAAACTACCTCCCTGACAATTTTCAGCTAAATCGGTTCAGCCGTTCTTGAGTTATAAGTGGAGTAACTAACACGACTTTCTTTTATATATATATGTAGATTATTGCTCCGATACGATGAGTTTGCTCAATAACTTTATAGAGGCAGGTTACTTGGTATTGTTTCCAAAGAAGGGTCAGGCGGCATTATCATGGACGTGCCAAAATTAAATTAGGATTATGATCAGGGTGAAAGGTGGAAGCGATGTATAGGAACTATGAAAGCTATATCGGGGTAAAACTTGCTGAATAAAAAATATTTTTCATGAGCAAAATATTCACAAATTAAGTAACTTAAAATCTTGAAATTGCAATTACAAAACAACTGAAAATATTCAGCATCCGAATGGGTGTTTAGCATTTTATCAACAAACATGCCACAATTTCATCAATAATTAGAGATAAGCTAAGGCCTGATTCGACCAAACTTTTATCCGAGAATAACTCCTGGTATAACCACAGAATAATAATAATAACTGGCACATTGACAGTTTCAGTATGGGAAATATGTCAAAACTGACGATTTATTCTGAGATCTATCCTAAAGTGGTCATTACGTAATCATAATTGCTGAAGATAGCCCTCTTAGGACAAAGTAACGATCGTTTGTCCTACGTTATCTTTATTGAGATGATTTATTTACTAATCTATCTAGATCTAATAACTGTTAGAGAGTAATTTTGTTTTTGCGTGAAAGGGTAACAAACATCCAGACATCCAAACTTTCGCATTTAAAATATTAGTAGGAAGTAGGAAGGATAGTAGGATTGTACGGACGACGGCACATCAAGGTAAATACTGTGACATCATAAGCAGTTGCAATACGTAGGTTTTGCAAAGCTGTATATTTCAGGTAATTCTGATCAAAAGCGATTCGATACCAATAATGTGTAATATGTGTATATCGCTCTAAAACTTTTGAATATCGCTCCGCAAATTAACTTTTCGGTTTGTTTACGACCGTTTTCCGATACAGCTCGCATCGCTCCCGGCTCGCGGTCATGGCGGCGAATACATTAGCGATATTGGAGCCATCAAATTATGCGTGCTTCAGTACTCAATGGTATCGATAATTTAGAATTTTGCTGAGCAATATGAAATGGAATAAAGCCTGTCTGCTTGTAATCTAATAATAAATAATAAGTAATCTTTACCTGTGGTGGAAAGAAATTAGAGCTTCGATACTACTTTTTCTTTCATCTAGTCGTGTTAATACATAGATACGAAGATAAAGCTATGAAAGCCCCACTTTCAACCCCAAACAACTCTCTAAACTTGCTGACCGAAATTTCTAAAATTATTTTAATTGTTCACAGATATTCTACTTGCCCCTGGCGCTGGCCATCCCTCCTGCCCAGTTCGTGATGCACCACCAGTTCAGCTACCTCTACATGTTCTGGATCCACACCGAAGCCATCAAGAGCTTGGGCCCTCTGGAGTACATCCTCAACACACCCAGCCACCACAGAGTACATCATGGTAAATAATTTCAACACAAACTAAGATAAAGAGTAGTACAACTTAAAATACTTCTTTTTATTGGATCAGAAATTACGTGAAATACGTAGTTTTTGATGTAGATTCCGCTAGTCGCAAAAACTCGATTTTTCAATATTCTTAGTTGCACTAGCCTTTATCTAGGTGTGCGATATGATGCATTTCAGAAATGCATCTCAAATTCATATTTTAAGAACATTAACATCTGTGAAGCTCAGGGAAGGTCACAGTTGTGATTGTTTTAACGCAATATCGTAACGCTTTTAATTTTGATCCATAAGAAGTTTAATCAAATTAAATAAAGATTAAGAGGATCTGCTCGAACGAAATTTCAATATTGAAGCAGGCAATTTTCGGCGGATTACAGGCCTCTTAAATTCTAAGGCAAAAATGCGAATCTAATCACGCCGATAATGGAAAAAAGGGAACACCAGACAGATTAAAGGAGCGTCTCTGGTTTGATCAAACTTTTTGTCTCAATAGAATTCGAATTATTCATATTAAGCTTATTTATGATAATTTTTGTTACAGTAAAATTGGTCTAAATATTTCACAAAATACAATATACCTAATTGTAGGTATTTATAAATTGATGATGATGATAAAATATTAATAAAATTAATTAATTGATAAATAAAATTTGGATATTAGTAAACATAAACCCTAATTAAATAACGCTTAGATGAGCTCCTTTAGGTGATACCTAATTGTTTTAATTAGAGCATGCGAATATTGAATGATGCCACATGCCTTTGTTTATTAAGTCATTGAACGCCGAGACGCTAGACACAATGGAAATTGTATTGTTCGAGGCTCACCGGTGAGCCGCGTGGCGTCCAACGTGTTCATATCAAAATAATAAATGTTTTTTTAACAGGCAGCAACAAGTACTGCTTAGACGTGAACTACGGTGGAGTGCTCATCATCTGGGACCGGATCTTCGGTACCTTCAGACCGGAGACAGACAAAGTGGAGATCGTGTATGGACTCATCTATAACCAGCCTTCGTTCAACCCTCTGTACCTACAGGTAAGCTATTTATCAAATATTTACAGAAGTAAATAGCATTTACCTACTGAGCAAGAGTTCAACTACTTATGTACAAGTGAAATTATAGTCAAACAATGGTCAAACTCAGATCGTTCTCAGTTCAAATTCGGTCAAACTGAGCATGCTAAGCGGTACATGATCCACGACAGTCATCATCATCATCATCTCAGCCATAGGACGTCCACTGCTGAACATAGGCCTCCCCCAATGCTTTCCATGTTACCCGGTTGGTAGCGGCCTGCGTCCAGCGCTTTCCTGCTACCTTTATGATGTCGTCGGTCCACCTTGTAGGTGGACGTCCCACGCTGCGTTTTCCGGCCTCCATTCCAGAACCTACATAATATTTTCAGAAGATACATATATTTTCTTCTTTATCGATGTATTTGTGTTTAGGTATATCTCTTCATCTGTACCAAAATAACACTCAAAATGAAACGTCAACACATTTCCATACAAAAGACATTCAAAACTAATACCCATCCCTGATGGAATTCACGTTGCCTTTTAAGCCGTAATTAGCATGATCATATTTCCAATAAAATGACCTTACTGAAAAACCCACCTACCTTATTTTGTTACACACAAGTGTCACTTTCGTTTGTTGTTTTGAAAATTGAATTTTCCAAACGCAAACAAAACCGGGTTCCGATCAATGCCGTTATAACCAATCTCTCTTTGTATCACTCTCAAGGGATCCTCTGATGTTCGTATTGAAGGGGTAGCATTGGTCCTCATTGTTCTGTTTAACCTTTGAAGGTTTTCTAAACAATAGCTAATATTATTGGGACTGCCCTTTTGTTTGTGAGTTTTCCCCGTGCTTATAGAGCTCGTGTCCATTTGAAATAAAACCTGATTTTAAACTTTCGCGTTCCATTTCAACCAAAATAGAGAAACATGGGTCTCAACGCGACATTTTTATATGAGTTACATAATATGTCGCGTTAAAACCCGTGTTACTCTATTTTGGTTAAAATAGAACGTTTCAAAAAGTGAATAACATAATGCTTAATAACATCCTGCACAATTGCACATAATATATGCACAAATAAAGTAACAAAATCTGCTGTTTCTCCATTACTACTGATATACTTATGTAGATTATAGTAGGTAACTACATATGTATTGAAAACAAAAAGCTTTACAGGAAAGTCTATAGATATTAGACAAACACAATCATACAGTGTGTCACGTTAAAGTGTACATATGAAAATAGATAAAATTAGACCTATTTTTATCGACAAAAAAGAGGTCAAATATTTTTTGAGTTTTTTTTTTTTAATTTTTTATAGAATTTTTTTTCTTCCAATTACTTATTGTAAAGAAAACGTAATAACTTTTAAACTAAGCTGTATATTCTGATAAAATAAAAACAGTAATAATGCTAAATAACAGGCGATACTGAAAAAATACATAAAATACCCAGATAATGCCAACAAATAATAAAAAATGAGACTTTTTGAAAAAAATCTGCTTAAAAATTCGTATTTTTTTGGTTATTTGATAAAGGACAGTGCCAATCCATGTATGGAAGTTGGACCAAGTGCTGCCCAGAATGAAACTATAGTGCATTTTGTTCCTCAGGCCAATACTAATTTGTAAACCGGAGCGCACTGAAATCTATCCCTGGAGTTAAGAGAAAAAAAGAGTTTTGTTTGGAATTATTTACATACAAAATATCATCGATGTATACCTACTACGCATAAGATTTCGCGATTTTAGCATTAAATAACACTCGCTATGTTGAACTTAACCATATTGCATCCGTACACCTTAATTTAGTACGACTTCGACATTATTTATAAGCGATCAAGCGCTGTTGCAGTAGTTTGGTTAGTTGAGAAATTAATTTAAGAAGTCGAATTAAGAAGTTTTAGCTTACAATAACTTCAATAATCGATTGTAATACACCAATAAATTGATTTTACGCAAGGATAGAGAACTAAAACTTCTTGCTTCATTTTGGAAATTATAATGATTTCTGTCAACTAACCAAACTATTGCAACAGCGCTAGATCGCTTAAAAAAGAATGTCTAAGACGCACTAAAGTAAGGTGTACGGATGCAGTATGGGTAAATTCAACATAGCGAGTGTTATTTAATGCCAAAATCACGAAATCTTATGCGTAGTACGTATATATCGATGATATTTTGTATGTAAATATTTCAAAACAAAACTCTTTTTTTCTCATAACTCCAGGGATAGATTGCAGTGCGCTTCGGTTTACACATTAGTATTGGCCTGAGGAACAAAATGCACTATGGGTTGATTCTGGGCAGCACTTGGTCCAGACCCTGGCACTATCCTTTCTCCAAAAAATGCCCCTATAACCTTTTAAGCAGATTTTTTTCAAAAAGTATATTTTTTTTATTATTTGTTAGCCTTTTTTGTGTATTTTATGTATTTTTTTAGTATCGCCTGTTATTTAGCATTATTACTGTTTTTATTTTATCAGGATATACCGCTTAGTTTAAAAGTTGTTACGTTTTCTTTACAATAAGTAATTGGAAGAAAAAAAATTCGATAAAAAATTAAAAAAAAATCTCAAAAAATTTTTGACCTCTTTTTTGTCGATAAAAATAGGTCTAGTTTCATCTATTTTCATATGTACACTTTAACGTGACTCACACTGTATATGAGAATGCAGATCATGCCTTATACGTTATTTATTATACCAAAATATTATGTTATTGGAACATTTAACCTGTAGGCTTAAGATGCGCGCCGCGATAAGCGGTTAGCACGCCGTTTTATCGATTTTGCCCATACATTTTGACGTCGATAAAAGTTATCACGGCGCGCATCTTAGGCCTACTGACGTGCTTTTAGACCTGCATTATGATTCTCTAAATTACAACACATAAAATCATTTATGATTGAGTTTGCAATTAAGTTTGAATCGACTTTGAGCAAAAGCTTTTCGAATATTTTCCCAAGCTTTTCTTCGAGCGACTTTTGTCTGTGTTCTAGGAACGAGATTTATTTCGAAGAATGAAATGCGAGTAACTTCAGAATATTTGAATAATATATGAAATAATAATATGAAATTCCACCACAATACGACTTTCCTGAAATCCTTCTACTATTATTTTGCGAATTTATTCAGCTGTTAGATACGCTCTTATGTTGCCATATAAGATATTAACTGCTACATTAAAAAGCTTAGAACAAAGGGTAAAGCACATCATTAAAAGTAATGAGGTACTAATGAGTGTAATTACCTCTTTATTGTCCTACATCCATTGTACCTCTCTGGCATTTTGACTGTAATTCCGACAAAGTAGGAAGGTGAATTTTAATGACATCATTTGCTGACTTTGGTTTTTGTTTTTACGAATAAAAATTATCTTTTGTGGTACAATAAAAACTATTGGATGTGATTTTTACAAGCATATGACGTGAAGTCTTGTTTGAATATTAATTTTATTATCCAATGGGTAGATATTGAAATTTTCAGGGGAGGCCATGTTCAGCAGTGAACGTCCTGTGATGATGATGATGATTGTCATTTTTAATGCTTTTTAAATTAAAAAAAAAATAACATTACACATTTAAGTTTTTAAGAAAACACCGCCTAAATTGTACCACTTTTTTCTATTTCATACATTTCTTGTTTTGTGTGGTGTACAATAAAGTTTTAATCCATCTTTGTTAAATATTGAGCTTTATCAACTTGTAATCAACTTCATTTTGTACCAAAACTGCAAACATTCCTTTGACGGTCTCTGATTTTTTTTATTTACATTGAGTTTATTTCGACAACTCTATCGTGACCAACATGACGTATAACTTTTGCAATTTCAAAATCGATCAGTACTGCTTGAATTTGATTTGTTTGTTTAAAACTAAAGTCATTTATCACCAAGTTAGGATAACAGGTAAACACATTTGACGGCCGTCTGGAATAGATATGGAACAGAGGTCGCGGGTTCGAGTCGGGAAACTTATATTTTATATTAGTCATCGATATTTTATTTTTAGCTACTAGACGAGGTAACCTTCGCACTTCTCCTATGTTCGTTCGTTCGTTCGTTTCAGCCAAATGACGTCCACTGCTGGACAAAGGCCTCCTCCAAGGTTTTCCACAATGCACGGTCCTGCGCTGCCCGCATCCAGGCTCTTCCCGCGACCTTTATCAGATCGTCGGTCCACCTAGTAGGAGGCGTGCCCACGCTACGTCTTCCAGCCCGTGGTCGCCACTCGAGAACTTTTCTGCCCCAACGGCCATCGTCTCTACGAGCTATGTGCCCCGCCCACTGCCACTTGATTTCTATGTTACTTCTGATTAATTTCGTTGCGGGTCCAATGACAGTTTCAACTTTCCCCCGGGACAAACTTGACCGTCACTGGTTGGGTTTTTATTGGCGGTCAAGCTGTAGAACCTGGCTACACAGGAGTTGCAGCGGTGGGAACGAGAGGTGGGAATAGTCCCGAAAAACTAGACGAGGTAACCATATTAATATTGTAAATAAGAAAGATATTATTTCTGTCTGTTACCTTTTTCACGGTAATACTACTGAACCGATTTCGATAAAATTGTATTTATCAAGACCTCTGGAAAAACATAGAGTAGTTTTTTAAAAGGGGATGGAATCACAATCGCGATATTTTTTTTTTGTGAGAGACCGACATCCACTCGGGTGAAGCCGCGGGCAAAATAGTTTAAAAATAATATCCTCAAAAACTCTCCTATTTATAATATTAGTAGTCGAAGGTACATCAATCTTTAAGTAATAAACATTTCACACTCCCTGCCCAGTCATTAACAACCCTTAAAAGCATATTTAATTACGCAAACACAAATAAAACTTGATCCACACCTCGGCCACAGCTAAATGGCTTCCAATTAGCGATTCGGTACAGCCCTCGTTAATTATTCGAAACGGTTTGTTGGTGGGCGACATTTTAAAGCTTTTAGCTGAATTTTCGCTTTTTGCGCTGCACTATTAATTTTATAGCTTATGTAAAGCCTCACATTCATAGGGTGAAACTTTCTGGTCAAATAGTTCACAAATAACTAATAATTTGTTTAAAAATTTTATTCCCTACGCAGTCTCTATCTACGGTTACATAGCTAGCAAAATAGTTATTAACATAATATAAGAAATAATGTGTTTTTAATTCAAAGTAAAATAAGGTTTCATCTAATGAAGATAAATAGAATCTAAACTCTTTCCTCTTTCTATCCCTTTTTCTTTTATATTGCAATATTACTTAAATTAATTACATAGATAAGTTATAATAATAAGCAACTTTAACTTTATTCACATAAACTGAAATTGTTTTGAGTTGACTAAATTTAATTCAAAATTCACTATTCGAAACGGAATACCACTAGCACTTCCATTCCAAATTAAATTAGTTTTAAAACATTTCGGGCGAAGCTTTTACATTCACGTAACAACTAGTAACAAGTAGTTTTGGTCGCCTGCTATCCTTTTATACAGCAAAACTGAACTAATTACAAAACTGAAACGCTTGCAGTTCCACAAACATGTATTGAATCTGGTTTTAACCGCGAAAATACCACACAGGAATTTCCTTTAATAACAGTCTTCTAATGACACCTTAAGAGAACTCAGTCGGTGCACATAGGTATTAACTACATTCTTTCTAGCGATCGCAATATTTCTTCCACCTTGTGTTATAAATTAAAAAAAGTCATATAATTTCGGAACAAACTTGGCTTTTATTGCTTGGATTTTTATAGGCGGTCTAGCTGCATATGCTGGCTACACAGGAGTTGTCGCAGTGGGAAAAGTCCCGTATATTTTTATGTGGATGGGTATTTCAGAATGGAACTCACAAACTCGGTTCAGTTTCAAGCATAGATTGAGGCTTTTGAGTGGTTGAATCACAATATTGAGACCAATCACAGGAATGCGGCCATTATTCTCCATTAGCAGAAATATGCAAACTCCAGACCAGCATGAAGAGTGTAAGCTAAATCTCAAATGTAGAGAGAGGTGTCATCATGCGTGGAATGGAGACTTAACGACGCACAAATGATGCTAAAGAATTTGCCTTGCACTACAAAAGCGAGAACCGATGAATTATGTATTTTCTTTGCACTATGAAAATGAGAGAACATACTTTATTTAATAGCAACTGGGTAATATTTAAGGCACGAGTAACGACGGTAATTAACTGTTAAACAAGATCAAGAGCTTTTAACGGCGGGAGCGAACATGAATTTGTTGTTTAAATAGAAATCTTATCACAATGTAGTTAGGTGCATGTTCCGTTGATTATGTAAGTTAAGCCGTTTACACAGAAACACTCAAAGGCAGATGCTGTGTTTCTAGAATTTAATAATAGAAAACAAATAATTGTATTCTAAACCATAAAGTATTACTTAAGTACTGAGCTTTGTTTCTAGTCGACCGTACTTTATCAGACCTCTAATTTTGAGAATGTCCTAAATACATTTTCAACCATAAACTTAACTACAAAACAACTATTCTAGAACAATGGAAACCATTTCGCATGTACGGAGGACGTCATATAAACATAAATAAACACTGGGCAGCCACAGTTATTTAGCTTTAATAAGTGGTATATTTGCAACAAAAATGCACAGTGCACACAGGCTGATTTTAACCGTAATTATAACTATAACCTTGTTTTTGTATAGAGTTTGACAGACTTTTGACGTTTGTTACAGTTAAATTAAGATGATGCAAGCAACCCAGGGTCTTTATTTTTCAACGCACGTTTATCAATTTCTATACTTTAATCAAAGTCTTTCAAGGTTTTGTAATTTCATTTCTCAGAGTGAAACTTTGAGTTGTAATTACATTACTAATGCAATGATGTTCCCAGTAACGAGATGTGATGAGCAATGTATGAGATTCTGAGAATGTGCGTTCACACACACAGAGACGAATAATATAATAATAAATAAGAATTAGAAGAAGTAAAAGAAAGTTAACCTTCAAGGCTTATTAATAACAAATCTATTAATCACAGTAGATGTTAGAAAGATGTGCCAAATAAAAATGAAATTGAAGATTGATATGCCTCGTACATCTAAGTTATAAGCCCTAAAAAGTAAATCTTAGTTGCCAGCATAATCATCTAAACTCTAGCCAATTTATTTGTGAAAAGAATGACACGTACGTAATCTATTATATAAAAGAAAGTCGTGTTAGTTACTCCAGTTATAACTCAAGAACGGCTGAACTGATTTAGCTGAAAATTGTCAGGGAGGTAGTTTAGAGCCAGGAGAAGGACATAGGATACTTTTTATCCCGTTATTTATTGCCATTAAGGCGGAACAAAGTTCGCCGGGTCAGCTAGTTAATAATAAAGAATGATAGTCATTTATAACGTCTATGCCCCCAGGCAACATATTTAATAAGCGCTCGAATCTCAATTCGCATGCAATTTTTTTTTCTGAAACTGTGTGAAGTTTCTATAATGTTCATCACATTTAATTCTTCAGAACTTCAGAACACAGGCCTAATTCCTAGGTTGCTGTTGTGGCCTTCTAGGACTCCATTACACAGGCTCAGTGCGAAGTGGTAGAAGGTGGTCCACCTTACTGTCAGATATTGTAAAATACCGTGGCCTAGATTGGGTAATTTTGGTGATAGCCACCAAAGCACAGCCACCGCTAGACTACAAGCACCTCTATACCCATGTAGATAAGACTAACTTTCCCCTTTTTTCCAGGGTTTCTACACCGGCTACGTGATTGAGAAGGTGCGTCAGTTCACCACCTTCGGGGACAAGTTCCGAGCAGTGTTCTACGGGCCTAGCTGGGAACCCGGCACTCCTAGACTCGGAGAAGAGGCCCTGAAGGTTGATGTATGTATTATTTGGGCAGCCTCATTCATTTTATAACAATTTTGTAGTAGCTTAAATACTCCGGGGGAAAATTAATGACAGTTTAATTTTCCCCTGGAGCAAACTTGACCTTCACTGGTTGGGTTTTTATTGGCAGTCAAGCTGTAGATCCTGGCTACACAAGAGTTGCAGCGGTAGGAACGAGAAGTGGGAATACTCCCGTAGCTTAAATACTACTTGCTAAGACAATTAAAAAGATGAAAATTTCGGGGAAACTAGACACAGCAAAAACATTATTGGAATGTCACAAAGATATTTAATACTCCTAACTAAAGTTTATAATGCAGCGCTTCGGGGATGTTTGCTGAGTGGCGCATCGACTGTTTCTATACGACGCTACGGAAACGGTGCGCATCCCTAGTGCGCAGGGTCCGGGGCAGCCCCAACATCATCTTAAACGCGCTCTCCGCAAGATTTGACTGCATAGAGCAATGATTAATGTACTGACTAACGAACAAATAGCAAAATGCAAAAATTGACTTGTTTGAATTGTTTGAATTTAATTTAATGTGAATTGAAATGAAATTTAAATATTTTATTATTATTACAAATAATTATTAACTGTAACCTTAAACCTATGACTGTGTTGAAATAAATGACTTATTATTATTATTATAATGAAGAGGTTAGTCTAAAAAGCATGTTACAGAGTAGAGACAACAGACCTGCAAATTGATGAAAAATGTAGTAAAACGTCAATCAATATCAAATCATTCATGAAAACACAACATCTTTCTTTTTAGTTGCCTGTTGCTTAGCCCAAAAGTTATCTCAGAAAGTTTAGAAAATTATTCACTAAAGAAACGAAGACTTTTAAAAATACAATATTGAGGTATTTTTAGCCAAAATTCAGGTAGACTGCCTGAAAAACAATGTTACAACTTTTGCTATTAATGGTCAATGGTGAATAAAGTTTGGTACCAAAGTGTAATATTGTCTTCCTACATCAAAATTCCATCGTAAGCTTTAGGCCAAACGGAATTTCATACTTATAGCAAATACATCTCTATCACTAATGACGTAATGACCATTCTACAATAGCAGTTTTCTGGCGTATACGTCCTTTAACCCTGAAGTCCCGTCTAATACCTGTCAACCAGGTCCGGCAAAAACTGATATCGTATGACCTAAACGACCCTCGTGTCCAGCCTAGTGTTATTAACACATTCCTGTCCACAGCTGCGATCGATCGACGATTTATCGCTATGATACTGAGAAGGATTTGACCTGTTCTATTTTACTGGCAAAATAGTTTTTGGCGCTTAACACGTTAGTTCAGTTTGGCTTTATTAGTATTATGTTATTAGTATATGACGACCTCATAAAGGTAGCAGGAAGGCGCTGGATGCAGGCCGCTACCAACCGATCATTATGGAAATCATTGGAGGAGACTTATGTTCAGTAGTGGACGTCCTATTGCTGATAAAGAAATGTAAGATCGAACACAAAAAGCAAGTAATGAGAATGAATGAAGATGGGATATGACGTGAAGTAGTTACTATGATGATGATGATTATGTTATACCTAATGTTGTGTATAATTTCAAAAAATATAATCTCGTATTTCTATCTTACCTACCTATTGCTTTAAGAAATTGAACTGAAAAGAACTCTTTGAAGATTTTTTGTTCAAACAAGGACTGGGCAGTAAAATTGGTTTTCTGAGAATCATCCCAACTAATATTATAAATGCGAAAGTAACTCTGTCTGTCTGTCTGTCTGTTACGCTTTCCCGCTTAAACCTCGCAACCGATTTTGATGAAATTTGGCATAGAGATAGTTTGAGTCCCGGGAAAGAACATAGGATAGTTTTTATCCCGGTTTTTGAAACAGGGACGCGCGCGATAAAGTTTTTCTGTGACAGACAAAATTCCACGCGGGCGAAGCCGCGGGCGGAAAGCTAGTTAAGAAATAAAGTAATAGGCTAGTTGCCTAAAAAAATTTTTTTAGTCCGTAATGTTTAATATCAAAAAATATTGGACACATATATTTTTATTTGTCAATCTAACAAATAATTACATAGTTATGGTGCGTTGAAGTTGCGCACGACGTCACAACGTGCGGCATTTTTAAGCAAGCGTTGACGTCACGGGCCTCTTCTTATGAACTTTGGGGCGCTTTATCTCTTTAAATTTTTATTAGTTTGAAAAAGTGAAAAATACGTGTAGAGTATTTTTTGATAAGTTAACTGACGGACTAATTAAAACTCTTGCTTTTTGACCCAGGCAACATCCCCATTATCAAATTAAGAGGCATGATGAAAACAAGTTAATTATCTAATTGAAGTCCTTGATCCGAACATCAAAGAACAATCAATCAGTAATTAGTTGTCCTTATTATAAACTAGCGGCCGCCCGCGACTTCGCGTGGACCCCGTTTTACCCTTTAGGGGTGGAGTTTCGTAAAACCCGTTCTTAGTGAGCACCAACGATATAAAAGGAACCCCCATGCAAAATTTGAGACTCCTAGTACTTGTAGTTTCTGAGATTTCGTGATGAGTGAGTCAGTCAATCAGTGAACTTTCGCTTTTATAGATATAGATTTAACTAAGGTCCATTTTCTCTTGCTACAGATTCTGCCAAGAGAGAAGTATGACATCTACCTTCCGACTTGGTGCAACATCTACCTGGTCATGCATTACACCATCGTCTTATATGGATTCTTCGAGCTGGCCGGAAGATATATGGTAAGGAAATAACTGAACCCCCTAATTTCACTTGAAGGCTCTATTTTCGAAACAAAAGAATTGATTGATTCCTTACCTTTAAAGGAAGTGGCCATGACTATGATCCATACGCAAAGCATGCATGAGCGTTGATATTATAAAGATGTTATTATGTGACCTATGTCATAATTAACTAATAATTAGGTAGGTACTTGTGTAGCGCAACTTCTTAAAAAAACTCTATTTGACTCTACTTGCCACCACGCCGCTTACAGTTAAAACGGAAGCTTTATAAAAATAGGGTAAATCATTGAAAAAAAAACTGATAAAATTACCACAAAAGCAAAAAATTTGAATTCCAGAAAGGTGGTTTCCAACTCTTTAATGGTACAATCTATATCTTATATATATAAAAGAAAGTCGTGTTAGTTACTTCGCTTATAACTCAAGAACGGCTGAACCGATTTAGCTGAAAATTGTCAGGGAGGTAGTTTAGAGCCAGGAGAAGGACATAGGATACTTTTTATCCCGTTCGAAATAAAAAAAGTCTGCTTATTTATTGCCATTAAGGCGGAACAAAGTTCGCCGGGTCAGCTAGTTTTGGATAAAAAAGTCAAACGATTTTCATTACACATGCAATTTAAACCTTGAATTTGTTAGGAAATTTATTCTATCGGGCTCAAAGCTTGAAAGATGTTTAAAAGAAACAATTTCGCTCCCCGTTTAATGCCTTGTCGCTTACACAAATTGCCTCTCCACGGTTTTGTAATTTATTCCCGCTTTTTAAGGAAGACAGCACATCGAGATAGCACTGTGTGCCTATGTAGTTATAATAGAAGCTATTTTACTGATACTTTTGTATTTGATAAAGTATCAAAACTGCAATACAAAAACTGCATAACACATGCTGAGGGCTGCCATTTTGGTTCAAACTAAACAAGCTATGTAAACTGATGTTGTAGTCTAAAGATTTTTGACTATATAAAAAAATCTTTCTTTCTTTTAATATAAACGTTGCAAAGTCCATAATTGATACACTTTTCATATTAAGGAGATATGCTAAAAACAAAAGTTTCAAATTTTCTAAGAAAGGAAGTAAAAGTTTGTATGGTGAGCTTTCCTTTCGTTTACCCATTCAAGAACTCTTTCTAAAACTGAAATATCCTCGTTTATAAAACGCAATGTTTATGTTTGTCTTTCGACTCTTCATTTCTCACACCTACTCCTGTTTTTGTTATCTTTTTAACTTTATCCGTGGGCAGCCCTTCTGAATTTTTGTATTTGTTGAATACCTCCTTCCGGAAAATAAGCTTTAAGTTGCTGTTTATTTGATCCAACGCTTTCAAAGGTTATTCGCGTAATTTCCAACAATTCAATTGTTTTGATCATTTCTAAGAATAAAACTCCTTTGAACATTTAAATATTCTTGCTAGAATATTTCCTGCTCGCATTCGCGGGGCCAATACCTAATACTTACGAACCAATTGAAAAGGTCGACATCCTTTATTGATTACGATAATCCATAATATTCATGCTATTCATATACCTTAATGCGGAAGTAACATCTGTTTATCTTTTACAATTTGACGCTTAAACTACTGTACTGATTGAAATGATAATTATATTATGCTGCAACATTCAGGAATGGACTTAAGACATTTTTAATCTTGAAAACCATTCCTTAATCCGTGAAAAAGGGATGGTATGGGAAATTAAACATCGCTCATGCAGATGGCATGATTAATTAAAATGTTGTTGGTCACGCGCGTAAAAAGTGCTGAAAAAAACTAATATTTTTCACCACAAGTCCATAGTCTATTTCTTCTTAGTTATAGTATTCAAATAAATCAATACGTGACAAATATCTTCTTCTTTCCAGGGCATGACACCAATCTCGGTCCTGATCTTCGTATTCTACATCATCTCCTCGCTCACCATCATCGGAATGCTCTTCGACAACTCCAAATACGCTGCAGTTCTCGAAGTCATCAGGTGTTCAGCTCTAGCCTTCCTCACCAGGTCTGTGGTAGGCACCAGTCCTTTGGGCACCAGTTTGCAGGTGTTCTATGTGGTGTCTGCTATGTTCTGGTGCCTGAACATCTTGAAGCTGCTGGAGATTAAGAAAGCGCAGAAGGTGGAGTAGACCAAAGAGGTTCGGGGTTCGCCTTATTTTAAAATTGGGATAGATATTTGCAAATGAAAAGTAATTTTACCGATACAGGGTGTTGATTTCAATCCTCGACATATTTATTTAGGTGATCTATTATGACCTATATAAACGCATTATCCACCAAAAAAAATTGAAAAAGATGCTATGCCTTAAGTCATGATTTAGCTCAAAATAAGGTTAAGACCCCAACTATAGTTGACTGATTGGAATTGACTAGTCGAATAGTTCCGACGACACGACTGATGTAAAAGGGCCTTAAGATTCTTTAGGTAGCTGTTTTATATTTTTGTAATAAAACATATAATATTTATAGAAACACTTGACCATATTATAAGCAAAATAGAATATTAGTGATAATAGTTGTTATTAGGCTTCAATATTGTCTTATTGTATTCATATAAATACAAGTATTGTACTTATATTTTTGTATTCGAATACCTCAAAATAAATACATAACCTCTTATTCATAAATTAAGTAGGTAAAATGTTTTGTCACTTTCTGTCAAATGAGTTAATTTCAATGTAAAGAAAAGAGATAAAAGGTTTGTTTTAAATAATTGTATGAATAGGAGGGTAAATGTATATCCAGTATAAAATAAAGTAGTGTAGAATATATTTTATAAATATTATGTATTAACTTAATTTGTATGCAACTTAATTTAAATTGTTATATTCTGCCAGCAATACTTTAATGTAATTTATGCAATAATTTAATGTTAAAATAGAATTATTGAAATACCAAATAGTTATGAATGAATTGAACTTTAACACATAGAAATATATTTAAGTAGCTTTTGCATTCATGAAATATATTTTAAGGAGAAATTTTTGAAAGCTGAATGATTTTTTATAAATAAAAGTTATAATAAAAAGTTGATTGCTTTGCGTTTTGATATATTTTGAATGTTTTATGCATAATTAATTTAGTTCATTCAAAGATACTTAATAGTTGTTGAAACTGTTTGTATTTATTACCGACCATTTAAATAACTAGCAATAAAATGTTGTAAGAATTTGGGTATTTTTTATTTTTGTCTAAACATTTAAAAAATCAACAGTTATAGCAACCCTTACTAGTTAATGAACAATGTTAACAGCATTGTTATGTTTGGCAACCTTTCGCCTAAGATAGACTTAAGATGCGCGCCACGATAAACTTTAATTAAGGTATTTTATCGATTCTGCACGAGAAGCCCATACATTTGTCGGCTAAAATCGTCGATAAGATTTCATCGTGCCGCGTATCCAAGCCCGGCTGATCATCACTTTCTATCAGGTGAGACACAGCCCAAGCCTAATTGTTGTGGCTGAAATAACTGAACAAATCCTTAAGCTGCTTGCTTGTCACTTCTGTCAAGGACTTAGAAATAGGAAGGCTCTCCTAAACAATATTTTCTTCGATTGAATACAACTCAAACACAATACAAACATATTTGCCCAAACAACTAGTGTCCACTAACAAATCCCTAACTGTTACCCAATATTGAACTCAAATGCACAGTAATAAGGCTGCAAACCAATAAGAAGGGCACAAGACTGTAAATGAAAAAGTTACTCTTTCAGAAATTTGCTAAGGAAGTCTATAACAAAGTTATCGAAGGGTGAAATTGTAACGAAAATTGAGGTTGGCGGGAAACGTCGCAAAATGATGAACATAAACTCATTACTTGCCTAAATTCAATTTTCCATCAAAAATCTAGGGTTAAATACCTACATGGTATCTACTTAAAATTATGTAAGAGTATGTTTCTATTAATTTAGGTATCACACTACAATCTGAAAAGGTAAAGATAGAAAAATATTATCTCCTCTTCTTCTTCTTTTTTGATGATGTTGGCAATACACATCGAGGTCGACTTGATTTGTGCCATTTTCAAGTATTTATGTGATACGAGTTACAAAATGAGATCAAGTAATCATATAATGAAGGATGATAGATGATACCCCTTCCCACCCTTTGAGTCTCAGTAAAGTTGTGGTGCTTTACTGAGACCTCCTATGGACAACTTGAGAGAACCAGAAGAATCACGATGCACACTGTTCTGCTTCACTCGCCCACACTCATGCACGTTCACGAACACTTAATGGTTAATAATCCACCATTATTACACATTAATAGTCGCCCAAATACGAATTTGAGGAAATAAAACAAAACCGCTTACATGACGCTTCAGATTCCCGCCAAGAAGTCCATATTATTATCTCCTCTATCATGAAATCTTAAACAAACAAAAAACAAATGGTTGGTATTGGAACTGGCATATAACAAAGTTTTAAAAAAACATTTTCCCGCCAATATAGCTGTCAGTTTAAAAGCGCAAAGGAATAAAATTTATACAGCCCTCCAAAAATAGCGCAAAGAAATAGAACAGTACACAATCGCGACTCCCGAACTCCACACAGCCTCAGTCTGACAAAAGCCTCGGAGGCGGGCAAACGTATTCCTTTGCCATAGCGCCCACTATCGAAGCGCTTGTGGAAAAAGTTAATGTAGATCCCTTTGCTTCGAAAAAAAGTGAATAGTGAACTGTGAAAAAGTTTTTTGTTTTTGAATTTGGAATTGGAAGTGGCTTTTAGTGTTTTTCCTGCTCTACTATTTCGAACTTTTTGGTAAGTTACTTTGTTTTTATTTTGCCTTTTGTATTAATTTAATTATTTTGTTAAAATAGGTACGAGTATTGAAAAATAAATTGATCGATGCATAAACACGTTTTAGGGCTGATTTTTCAATCATCAAATAACTTTTAACTGGCGAATAAATTTGTCATTTTGACATATTTCCCATACTGAAAATGTCAATATGCCAAACTTATTCTTCAGATAAAAGTTATCCAACGATTGAAAAATCAGCTCTTAAAAAACTAAACGACTTATTTCAACGTCGTAATGAATTCCGGGTAAGTATTTTTTTTTAACTATAAGTCATTACAAAAAAGGTATAAATATTATTCTTTCTAAATTGTTATTAAAATAGTTATTCGTAAATACTTATTGCGTCATAATTAAATTAACAATAGTCAAAGTTATTTCAGTACGCTATTAATATAATATTCAAAGCTTAAATAGGGCTTTAAGTTTATCAGTGGCGAAACTTTGTTTAAATTAATTTCAAATTAATCGGAAGTCTGACACTTTGCGCAATTAGTTTCAACTTTATAACTTTATAAAGTTTTTGGGAAGAAATTAAGTTTAATCAAATTCAAAGTACAAAATTAATAACATATTTTAATTTGTGCCTTATAAAGGCATTAAAAATATAATTTCAAATATAATTGACTATAATTCGGAGAGTGTAATACTTTTTTATCCACCATGGAGAAGCTTTCAGTCAGTATCGCGCTTATGGAAAGTGATGATCAGGCCGAAGGTGGAAGCGAACTTCATTTGAAATCCTCAGCTACAGAGGAACTGGCTATATTACCTCCAACTGCCGAAACACAATTTATTTACATACTTAGGTAAAATGGCGGTAGGCGGACTAAGAACAAGCTCTATCACCAACCAAACCAAGCACAATATTTTACTCCTACTGAGAATCGAACCCCAGACCTCTGGGTCTCAGATGGCTGGTCTTACCTTCAGATCAAAGAAACGGTAAAATATTATTACTTAGGCTGGGTTGCACCATCTTACTTTGACTTTAACAAACGTCAAAAATTTGTCAAAATCCATACAAAAAACACACATAGTTACGGTCAAAGTTAGGTGGTGCAACTCAGCCTTAGATACAATATAGCGGCCCGCCTAGCTTTGTACGGGTAGCCATTTTTGGGCTGGCAGCGAAGGTGTTAACAACACTTATAAATAAAAAAATTGCTTAAATAGAAACACACGGGTCTTAACACGACATTTATTAATGAGTTGCATTACATAATGCAGTACATACTTACGGCTTGTCTTTCTATTTAAGTCGAAATGGAACGCAAACAAAATTGCTTATTACAAAATATTGAGTTCTAATGGTGAATTAATGTTTCAAATCGGTCTAGCAGTTTCGGAGCCTATTAAATTCAAACATACAATAATACAAAGTCCTCTTTATAATATTAGTAATTACAGAAGTAAAGCTGTCAAAGTAGAATTCCTAAATACCTTCAAACAGTCATCTTCAAAGTTCTTCAGGAATAATAAATACCTACTTAAGAGGTCACAAAAGGAACCGAACCTGTATTTATAACGGCTCTGTTTAAATTACTTTCGGGGACAATGATGTTTCAATTGTTCAAAGGGATCTAAGGGTCACTGCCACCATTCATAATTTTAAATTAAAATGACCCTTTTATAGAGGGTCCAAAAGATCGTCAGTATCAATTCTACATTAGGGTTAAAATGATATTCTCTTAATAATATTAATAACTGTAAATGTATTGACATTTTAACGACTTATTTTGTGAAAATTGCTTTATTATTAATTTTTATCAGTTAGCCTAGGCGCAGACCATTGATTTTTCATCGGCCGATAGTTTAGTTGGGCAATTGATCAGTATGGGAATGTAACGAAGTGCGCACATTACACAGATTTTATTTGGCCGATTCTTCATACAATTAAAAATCGGGCACAACTATCGGCCAACTAAAAATCGATGGTCTGCGCCTAGACTTAATAAGAGGAAATGGATCGTACTAAAAGTGTTAATAAAATTATTCTTAAGAAGTGGTTTCAGGCAATATTACCCAATGCTACGAAAACAATTCTTTCAAAAATCTTCAGATAAGTAATTTAATTTTAACTTTCGATAAACTTTCTTATACCTTCCTCGTATTTTACACTTTGATTTTGGAGATAAGAATAAAAATCTTTTATCGTTTATTTCTTACTTAAATTCTTAAATTTATTTTTCCTTACTTTTTTACATTTACATAATTTTCTGAAAACTGAATATCATAAACTTAAAAAACATCGCATCCTTCTCTCGGTTAGCAAACATCTTATACTGTGTCCACCTTTGGAAAGCTTCTGCAAACCTTCACAATGTTATGGAAGAACTACCCCAAATGTACTCGTAGCTCGTCATTCGCTCCATTCCACCCCATAACCCACCAACTTTTACCAACAACCTTTTTATTTATTATCACACCAGTAGCTTGTTTTGGTCACGTGGAATGATCACGTACATTATTATTTTCTATTTTAATGGATGGATGGATGGATGAAAGCAATAAAGAATTAAAGTTAGTGCTTTTAATTTAATTTTGTATGTCACTGCTGCACAAAGCACAGATATTGTTAGCTACTTGAAACATCTGAATGGTTTATTGTCAAATCATCATCGTCAATGTCGGATATTAGGTACTTATAAGTTACTTTTAAGTCACATCCTTAACGGATTGTTTTCTAAAATTGGACCTATTAACGATAGGCTACTTTTTTACCTTTATGACCAAATTACTTCAACTATTTAAGTACTTAAAAGTAAAAAAAAAACAAATTGCCACAGCTTACCATAGACTGAGTATATTTATTTATTTATTTTTGGGAAACATACAGTTAGTCATATTTATAATATCTCTAAGTCCTGAAGTACGTAATACTAAATAGTACCAATATAT